GAAATAAATAATAAGCAATGCGGGTATTCAAAGGTTTATAAGTAAGAACATTATTGACTCCCTAATGTGAAATCTTTACAATAGGTAGTTTGAGAACATAGTATGAGCTGAAGTGTAATATCACAAGATGTTTAATATCTGTAAATATATTTTCATTACCCATTTAAAAATGTTTAATACTGTTTTATCTTTGTATTAGAATGATTTTTTAGTGCCTGCTAGAGAAATGACTGTATTTACATGTATATTTGAACCACTGTATACTGTAATATTTACTCAATTTACTCAAGTTCCGTTTTGTATTTTTGTTACCAAAACTATAAATATTGGTTTCGTGCTTCTCTGTTAATCTATTTATGTAATTCAGAAATGGAAATTCTTTTAAAAAAGCTGTAACCCACCTTTACTTTTTAATGTTAGTATAACTTCTTCATTAACTACTTCTTCATAACTTAAGGGGAAAGTAATTTATCTTGTTTTGCTTTTAAAATTGTGTTATTGAATATTTTCATTTTCCATTTTCTGTGAGTTAGGCAAGAGAAAATTAAATTTGCTAATTATTGAATCCTGAAGCGATGTGGTAACCAGAAACAATAAAGAACAAGTACTCTTTCAGCTTTCAGTCTTTGAACTTATCTGGGGAAAATAGCACTGCAGGTTCATATGAATTAAAGTTTTTGACAGACATTTGTTTTGCAAATAGCGACAGTGTTTTGAGATGTTATTGCCCTTCAGCTGCGAGGGAGATGTACTTCAGCAGAGCTGTCAGAATGAAAATGTGATTGCCGCTCTGCTGTTTCATTGCAACTGCTGGCTTAATTTAAGCTTCCGTGGGAAGCCTTATACACAGAGAAGTCTGTGCGTCTTGCGTTACTAAGTGATTTCTAGGTTTGTTTAACAGGTAAGAATGTTCAGGCACTTCTAGAAGGAAATTAAAGTGTGCTTCACTTCCAAACTATTCAGATAGGAAGAAGAGTTTACAAAAGCTCATTGAAGTAGGGAGAATAAATATATTTTTGGAGTTTCTGTGATACGCAGTTGCTAGTGTGCCTGCAGCAGTCTCATAATTCTCAAAAAAACGATCAGTGTGCAGTTAATCTTTGGTAAACTATTGTCAGCTGACAGTAGCTAATAAAATCTGCATCCATTTTACTAGTACTAGAAGTTTGGGGGTTTTAATCTCTATATCAGTTGCTTAATTTTTTAAACTAGCGCAAGCCTAAGTTTTTTGTAACTGATGAATGTTTAATAGCATAAATGTAAAGAAAAATATTTGGTAGCACCACATTTTTAAAAAATAGTTATGATGTCCTGGTATATATTTTTCATAGGTATATGAAAGAAAAGGTTAATGAGGCGTGATCTGATATGCCTTGCCTTGTAATTCAGAACCACTTAATGAGTAAAAATTGCCCAGAATGTGAACTTTTTGCAATTTTAAAAAGATTTTATGACTTGCAGGCAAATGAATTTGTCAGCCAGATAGCTTCTGACCCACTTGGCATCAGTGGTGATCATGCTGCCTACATCTGAAAGCTTAAGCTGTGCTTTTTTTGGTGGTTTTTGTTTGATTGTTTTTTTGTGGGTTTGGTCATGTTTTTTTTTCTTTTTGTCTTAACAGTGGTCAGTATCTTTCATTCAGATGTTACTAGGGTAATAATTAGGAACAAGTGCTTACAATTCCAGTGTATTAGCAGCACTTGTATAGGTAAATAACCTCTTTATTCAGATACAGGAACCATTGATATTTTCTATTATTGTACTTGTAGTTTTTCTTGTGATTTATCATATGTTTAAAAAATAAATGGTTTTACATTTGGAAAGGTAGCAATATAGATTTAAGTCATGCTTGCATACTTAAGACTTGGTGATTTCCACTTCAATGTGATTTTTTTCTGTACAATTTTTTAAAGTTCTATGTACTTTTCAGAATATTTAATGAAAAAGCACTTAAGGATCTTCCGTAATTTAAAACTTAATTTCAATAATTCCTTGTTCTATGTCTTGGATTTTATCATTGAACTAGTGAGCAGGCATATATTTGTATCAACTACTTCAGTATTCTAAAACTGCAGGTGTTTAGTGTTTATTTCTGGTGATTATAATCCATTCATTGAAAGTATGTGGTCAAGTATTTGATCGTACTCTCTGGAGAAGTTTTTCAGTAGGTTCCTCCTGTGTTTGTGCAGTGTACAGCAACTAAACTTGTTTGTAAAATGAGTTTATCCACAGTAGGTCAGAATGTTTTTGTTCTTGACATAGTCAAAGGTAAAGCCATGAGACTAGCTTGCAGGAATCAAAATTAACTTATTGGTTTTGCAAAGACTGTGCGAACAAGTAGAATGTAAAGGAACGTGGAAAGCTGGTGATATCACCTTGATGTGTCTAAGTTCCTAGAAAAAAATCAGTTACTATATGAAGTGCCAGGTTTTTCTCAATACCAGTCAGACATATGTCGTAGCTGTTTGAAAGAAGTGGGAGTAAGGGGTGGGGTGGGGGTGGTGGGGCAGGGAAAGTGGGCATAGAAAGTATAACAGTTACAGCAGGCTTAAAAATGATGATTTGCAATGGTCTAGCAAACGTGAAATGTAGTGATTTATGCCAATCATTGAACTTCCACAGGATGGCAGTGTTGTAATACTTTCATGGTACAGTAAATGATTTATGTTGTAGTGGGTTCTTCAAAAATTGAGCTTCTGACAGTAAAAATATATTTCAGTGAGGTAAGGGGGCATAGATCAGTAGCTAGGCCAAGTAGTGCCATACAGATGCTTGACAGAATACACCAGAGAAGACAGCAAGTGGTTGGAAGTATCATCACAGTCACTTTGACTTTTGGAAAGTGTATGGTACCCTGGGATAATAATCCCCCAGTGAGACCACACAGGTGCTATGGAAACAACCTCACTGGGAAATGATGGGCTTCCCAAACCTGTGGAGGTTAGTAAAGGATTGTATGAGAGCAGGGATCTCTTCTTAAGGTCAAGGCTGTAACAAAGACAGGGGTTTATGGTTTGTAGGAGTGCTTAAAAAATCTGGGAGATGGATTACTGCTGTTGGTCACTGATGGAACAAAGCTTCTTTTGGACTTCAAGTTGGCTGGTTACTTCAAACGTAATCAGACTCATGGCTGTTCGGAGTTGGTATTTCTCACTTCCCCTCCCCTCTCTTCTTCACCCTGGAATACTGAGGACCAAAGCCATGTCAACATAAAGTATATGAATCTTCGTGCATACATAATAGTAACTCCTCTTATTATTAATACTAGTATTAACATTAATGATGTTCTTGGCCTCCACTTTCTGGGGGGTTATGAGTCCCCATGGTTCGTATAGATCCATTAATGCATTTGCTTAATATTAATTTTTAATTCTGTCGCTTTTCAGTTACTTGGCATACTTCTGCTCTTGTGTTAAAGAAAGAACAAATGTACCTCTTTGCATTTTCTAAATAGCTAGTGGACTCTGAAGTGTTTCATTTGTTTGAGGTCTGGTGCCTTCAATTTTTCCTCATATAGAAAGCTTCTTTTGTCACTTGTTATCTAAGAGCTGTTCCCCCACCCTTGACCAGTGAAAACAAGATGGGAATTGAACTATTTCTAAGCTAGAGCATCATAGGTAGATGGTTTATTTCCCTAGGAGGAGAAAAAGCAGTGCCATTAGGAACAACAATACTTTGCCACGTTCTCGAAAATTGGATGCACTAAGTGGATTTATTCTAGTCAAAGGAAGGAAAAGTAATTAAGATGGCTGAAATATATTTAAAATTATACATTTCTGTTTCAGTGTCACTGAAGTTGGGGGGAGGATGGACTATTATACTATGGAACCAATGTTTTTTGAAATGTGTATTCACTTTCTTCCCACTTTTCCTTCTCTCTCCTCGCTCTTTTTTCTCCTAGCATATAGCACTTTCTACATTGTGGGGTTAATATTATCAATGCAGATACCTTTTGTGGGATTTCAGCCAATTAGAACAAGTGAACACATGGCAGCCGCAGGTAAGAAGATTAAATATCTGCTTCCAAACGTGCTTAGCACAAGAAAACTTCAAATTCTTGTGGCTTTGTTTCCTTGCATTGGAAGGAACACAGAGTAACAAACCAAATTGTTAAACGAAAAGAGGTACAATTTCGTGTCTGTAGGGAGATTTTCTTCACAATTGACACATTATTGTTCTTTGTGTGAGCTAATGGAGGTAAAATGCCTGCATAACACTGGATCACTTACACATTCTGACAAGCAGGTATTTTACACATTTATAATCTCTACTGTTTTGGAATATAATGTTGCCTTCAAGCATTTTAGAATTGAAACATTCTTTGTTGGTAAATACAGTTTTTACTGAGCAATTTGCTTTTAGAGTTGATAGTCTTTAATTTTTCAAAGTGGGTTAAATGCAAATGAATTAAATTACTAATCAGGAGGCTGATTTTTAAATAACTGATTTCAGTCTTGTTTGATTCTTTTTATTTCTTTAAAGTAAATTGATTTTTCAATAGCTGTTAACAGTGAGACATCTTGATTTGTTGACAGCAATAACCTCTGTTATGACTGATAGGTTTATGTTTAACTGCATACACTGTTTGTGTGATATAGTTTAGTTTGTTAGATTCCTCAGTGTTTTTATTATATATAGTCATTTATGAGAATGTATTTGGGACAGCAATTGGAATATCATTAAAATTTAACAGAAAAATACTTTCAAAAATTGAGATTTTTTTTTCAACAATCTGAATATAATAGTGTAAATATTAAAAAAAACACATTTTACATCTGAAGAATTTTACATTTATTTAGTGAATAGAGCTTCTATCTTTCTCTAGAAGTTCAGAACCTCGAGAATTTTCAGCATCATGCACCTCAAATTTATTGTTAAATTGAAGAAACAGCATATACTTTATTTTCTATTTTTTTTTCCTTCTGTGGTCTACCAGTGAATTTTCACTTTTGAATGGACTAATCATTGGATTGATATGATTACATACATTGAAATGAATAACAACAGAAAAATTGTCCAAGTTCTGGTTTAATGCTAAACTCTGAACACCCTTTTTGAGGGTGCAGGGTGCTTACCCAGTGAATTCTGGTATTTCAACGCTACCTTTATATAATTCAGTTACCTGTAGCACTTAATGCTTGTTTCTTGGTTTGTTTTTTCCATTAAGTCCTCCTCTTCTGTTCAATAGCTTAATTTCCATGTATTTCTGTATTAGCCTCGTTTGTGTGTTGCCTGGGGTCTGTGTCTTAGTTTTGCACCAGGTCCTAGGTATGTTAACCTGTGTTTTTGTCATAATAAATACAAACTAGTTTTCATGTGATTCTCTCCCTTACCCCAATTTAATTTGGGAGTAAAGAGGTGGTGGGTAGCGGAGCTCTTAATACAGTAAGCAAAGAATGTTTTGGAGAGTATTTTCTCTCATTGGAAGTTTCTGTCATTGCAAGGATGTATCATCCCTGTTAAGTATTAAAGACTATTTGTCAGAAAGTGATTTTATACTAGTTTTTAGATGTAAGGGTGTACGCTTGTATATATGTATTACATAAGTATAGCCAAAGTATGCCAGTTGCTTTAACAGCTGTTACTGCTTTTGAGCATTTAAACAAAAAATTTCCTCTTTCTTTAGGTGTCTTTGCACTGCTGCAGGCATATGCATTTTTGCAGTATCTGAGAGACAGATTAACAAAGCAAGAATTTCAGACATTGTTCTTCTTGGGTGTCTCACTAGCTGCTGGTATTGTATTCCTGAGTGTCATCTATTTGACATACACAGGTAAATAAATGTGAAACTAGTTTACCTTTGGAGCAGGTAAACCAGATGATCAACATTTGGTTTTGTCTCAAGCAGTTGTTGGCAGTGCCACAGCAAACCAGTGCCCGTGTCACTCTGTATTTCTGTGTTTTGGAATTCACTTGTTGTAGGACATTAACCACAATATTTAAATGTCTAAACTAGATATTAAACTGAAACCTTCAGTCAGATTATACTGATTTAATATCAGATGGAGGGAAGACTTAACATGTCATGCACAAAGACTTACATAATAAATAAAAAGATTTAACTTTCTCTGATTTCGGCTTGTCTGTGTGAGTCTTCAGAAAGAGCTGAAGCAGTTGCAAGGAAAGTGGAAATAAAATTTCAAAATAATATTGCTAATAACTTTTAATAATAATTTTTATCTTTCATTTAACAATATTGTTTCTTTTCATCTTATGATATTCAAATATCTAAAGGCTTTGTTTTAAAAAATAATATGTAATGCTTATCAGCGTGTCTAGGTAGCAGCTTTTATATTCCACGCCATGTGTAGATACATCAACAGAGAAACAATAGGAAACCAGTGTTTCATTGAGTATTAGTGTTTTGGCTATAGATTTTTCCCAGTTTCCTGCTCAGGCATTTCAAGAAAAAGTCAATGCTTTCTTATCAATTATGTTTTCTTTTTCTTATACTTCTTTACAGAGTATAGGTTGCTGTCTGTCATATTCTTTCAGAAATATTTTATTTATTGTTGCATTGCTTTGACTTTTGGAGGTGTGCATGTCTTGATACTCAGTGAGTACAATGTGATCCTGTAAGAGTGTGTTCTTCTAAAACTGGCTTCATGGTTGGCAGACTTTATAGCCTACCTAATGCAGTAAGTCCGGTTCACATATATTACAAGTTCAATTAAATTTCTTTGGTTTTTTGCTACAGTTTGAAGGAGTAGAAAAATTATTGCATTTAAATACTGAGGCAGCAAAAGGGGTTTTTTTTTTCACCCCTTCTCTTTTTCAGGTTATATTGCTCCTTGGAGTGGCAGATTTTATTCGCTGTGGGACACTGGGTAAGTAAGGATAAAGAATATAAGGATTTAGATATCAATAGCATTCTACTGGAAACTAATAATCTTTTGCTTCCACATCCTCAAATCCATTTAGTATTTCAGTTAAGGAGAATATAGTGGGCTTTAATCTGCTATCCGAAGAGAGCATTTGTAGTATCTGTTTCATGATCTTTGCAACCATTTCACTAATTTGTCTATTAAATTTCTCACTTCTTTGGAAGTGTTTGAATATTTACTGGTATATTTTTCTATATGAAGTTGTTGTGCTTCTTAGTGTAAAATAACCAAAAGCTGTACCAACACTTGAGGACACATTTAAAAATTACTTAGAGCCTTAAACTATTTTCATTGTGAAACATTACAAAAAATAACAAAGATGTTGTGCATATGATCTTGCATGTTGCCTGTTTATTATGTTCTTACATCTGTTTGTGTATACAGATCTCTACTGTGAACAATTCTGGTTTATTCCTGTGTGTTTTCATGGGTAAAAAACTGTGTTAGTTAATCTTTTGTTTTAGTTAACCTTCAAAAATCCATGTTGGATTCTTTTGCCAGCCAGGAGAATAGGAATAAAACTGAAGATATTTTTCTCAGATAAATCTGTTTAGGGTGAAATTCAATTGGTAGGTTTTTGGTTTTTTTTTTTAAGATTAAAAGCAGGGATAGGAGAACTTCAAACTTTCGCAGTTCAGGTTTTTTCAGGTTCCAAAGTCCAGCTCATACAGGATTCAGTACCAGCTCTGTACTATGTAGTAGAATAGATTTCAGTAAAGAAGCCTGATTTATTCGAGGAACATATAGATTATGTTCTTTGCCTATAAATGAAGTGGTCTGTATAGATATACAAAGCAATAAACTTTTGAGGGCTTGGCTACATTAGAAAATCATATTGTGTTAAAATACAGAATACGGTTTTGAATGAGCACTACATCTCAGTGGAGAAAAGGACACGTTTGATACCTCATAATTTGGTCATGCAGCACCCAAGATTAGTTCCATATGTATAGCTGTCTTTAATATAGAACACAGTTTTGTCCTTGTCTGCACTGAGTGCTTGACATGTCGTTTAGTGGACATGTATTTCCGAGTGTAGACAAGGCCTGGTTTTTTTTCAGCATCTGAAAGAATGTGGGTGCATCGGTAACTGGTCTGGTATTTAATACTCTAACTTTCTGTACTAAGAAAATGAGGGTATTCTGTGTAGAGGAGAGTTGTCAAAACGCAATGTTTAAAATCTAGGAAAATTACTGTCATGGAAGATTATCTCTTAAAAATTTAATGATGAGGCTTCCATAGCTGCCTGTTTTAATTTTGGTGAATTTGGCTTCATATTTAGCCAAAATAAAGAAAAACACCCATAATTTTGATTTTAATTAGTATGGAAATAATCCTTTATATCTATACACCAAATGCTTTCTAAATACAGTAAGACTTGGGGATTTTTTTGGTATAAAAGTTTCATCAGATTTCTGCTGAATAGAGCACTTGCCATTTTAAATTAAATGCTTCTTTTGAAATTAATTTCAGAATTCCTAATGTTTACAAGTTTTAATAATTTTATCATTTCAAAATAATTTGAACTGAATTTTTTTTAAAAAAGGTATGCGAAAATTCACATCCCGATCATTGCCTCTGTGTCTGAGCATCAGCCTACAACATGGGTTTCCTTCTTTTTTGATCTGCATATTCTCGTGTGTACTTTCCCAGCAGGGCTGTGGTTCTGTATCAAAAACATCAATGATGAAAGAGTCTTTGGTAAGAGGAAATATTTAAAAATTATTTTGAAAAATCTTTCGTTCAACTTGATTCTGTTTAGCTTTTGTTTGCTTAAAGCTCGTACATGGCTTGTTCTAAAAAGGTTTAAAAGTTATGTATTTAAAGATTATTATTAAAAGTTGCCTGCACCCAGCAGTATTAAAAACCATTTAGGAAAATGCAGAGATTGATGAAATCGTGATGGAGAGTTGTCCCAAGAGTCAGGATTGAAATATTTGTCAGTATGGTTCTGTTCTGCAGCTGGAGTTGCATGCTCTTCCACATGCTGATCTTGCAAACCTCGCATTGAGGTGCAGCTCAAAAGTACAGTTCAGCCAAGTGAACAGCTCATTGCAAAGGGAAGGTCCCTACCCTGTGCAGGCTGCAAGGCAACAGTCCCTTCCCTGCACGTCTAGCACTCATCCCATCACAGATTGTGATTCAAAATGCCTTTTCTTTCCAGATTTTCTGCTGTTTTAGTGAACTGAATAGCTTAACTGTGGAACAAGGCTTTTCAGATTATAGATGAGGTTTGTAAGGATATAATTTGAAGTTGTAGCACATATGGAACAGTGAAGATGACTCAGGTCTTGGGCTTTTACAGGGGCAGGAGGCTCCAGACTAATATAGCTGCCTCTTAAAATTACTGAAGAAGTATGTGGGCAGCAGGAACACTTACTGTGTTAAATGTAGTGACTGGAGTATTCTGTGCTTTGTGGCCTACTATGAGTCCGTGTCAAGACCAGTGCTGGGCAACTTGCTTTCAAGCCTCCTGTTGCATCATCCATAAGTCAGCATAAAGAGACCTGTGGGTGAGAAAGGAGAGCCATACTACTTCAAACAATGTAGAAAATATTTATGTAATCTAATAAATCAGTGTCCCCTCAGGATTTCCTTCGCAAATCTTTAATAAAAGTGTATTGTTAAACTGTAGCAGACAAGGAATAACCACTATTACTTGAACAAAGCAATAGATGTTCCTAACCAGTGTATACAGGGTGGGTTTTTTGCCTTCTGAGAAAAGTGTTATGAATATTCTTTACTATTCTGAAGATCTTGTTCTGGTTTTGGGGGGAGGGGGGAGTGGAGACAATGCTGTTTAGGAAAACGTGCTTCAGAATAGGGCTCACAATATTATATTATTTGTATGGAATTATAATGTAGACAAGCCCCCAATTTGTCCACAGATGTCTCTAAGTTAAACTAAAATTTGATATTTACATGAAATTCTAACACTTCCTCTTGCTTTTTCAGTTTCAGTAACCTGTTTGGTCTAGAGCTGTTTGACCTCTTTAATCAAATGAAGCCACCTATTATTTCAGTAGTGGTGTGTGATGTTAAATTTCATTAATAATGTATCTTCTGACACATTATTAATGAATATGAAAATGGGGTTGTGTTATTGTTAACAGTTGTCAAGATGAACTTCAGGAAGGGTTTGAGGCTTAAAAGGCATAAACATTAATTGAACTGTATCTCTGTAAATTAAAAAGCAATGAAATGCAAGATGCATACTGAAGTCTTTATATACACAGATGCTCAACCCATTTCCAGAAATAGTCTTATGGGGAGCGCGTATGTGTGCAGTCAGAATGAGTGTGTGTTTCTAAATGTCATCATTAGATTTGTTTCTTTGCAGTTGCTCTGTATGCAATCAGTGCGGTTTACTTTGCTGGTGTGATGGTTCGGCTCATGCTCACTTTGACTCCAGTGGTCTGTATGCTGTCTGCAATTGCTTTCTCCAATGTCTTTGAACGTTATTTGGGTGATGATATGAAGAGGGAAAATCCACCAATAGAGGACAGCAGTGATGAGGATGACAAAAGGAACCCTGGCAACTTGTATGATAAGGTGAGGGGAGGAAGCAAAATTTAGAAGTCAGAAAACGGCTTATTTTTTACTATTTTTTTTTTCTTTTCGTCAGAATATTTTAAATGCCACTAGAGGTCTGAATCACCAGTACTTAAATACAGAACAAGTATTGATGTTCTCCGGTAAGGTGTAACTGATGTCCTGAAAAAAAGTCTGTCTCAGTGTAGAAGTTGTTCCTTCTGGCTTGATCGGTGATAAGTGTCTAACCTAAAGGAAGTGTACAGTGTTGACCCAGCTTTCTATAGAAGTGATGACAGGCAGTTGCTTACTCTCCTTAACTAGTTATAGCAGTTCTGTATCACTGAATGTTTCCCTCTTGTGTTTCCCCTAAGACACGGTGAAATTAAAAAAGAAGATATTTTATGAAAAAGTATTTCTATTCATAAAATTGCATACTCTCTTCATTATGAAGAAAGTGCTATTAGGTACTATTGTTTTATCTCTTAGGCTTTGTTATGCTGACCCTGACAATGCATAAGCCTTGGGTTTCTCCCCTTTTCCTCACAGTAAATATCAGTGCCTTTCCCTTTTCCACCCTGCCTTATAGAAGGGCATCATCATACTGAGACAAACCAAGAAAATCATGCGTTGACCCTCGTGTAATAGTTTCTTTCTTCTGAAAGAGGCTTTCAAGGAATCATCCATTTTTACAAGTTGTTGGATTGTCAAAATATTAGTGTGAATACTTAGTTAATTTATGCTACAACTTGGTTTAGCTTTATAGTATCCCATAGCATTTACAGGGTGCATGTGTTGAAGAAAAAAGCACGGGTTCCATTGTCAAAGGTGATAAAGGTTGCCATAACAGATATATTTGTCTTTGTTTAGGCAGGTAAAGTGAGAAAACATGTATCTGAACAGGAAAAAACAGAAGAAGGACTGGGTCCCAATATCAAAAACATTGTTACTATGCTGATGCTGATGTTGTTGATGATGTTTGCTGTTCACTGTACCTGGGTAACGAGCAATGCATACTCCAGCCCCAGTGTTGTTCTTGCTTCCTATAACCATGATGGGTAAGGTCGGTCTACAGGTCTGAAAATAATTAAGGGCAAAAAGCCTTTCTACTTCCTTTGCATTAGCAATTTGCTTTACCTTCTTTTAATCACTTCTTCCTATATTCAGGCAGAATTGTCACCTGAATAAAAAATTCTCAATACTGTAATTTTCAAAAAGATACAATATTTTCTGAAATATTTAATGTAAATACATAAAAATAATCCTATCCAAAGCCAATAAACTTGATGGGTTAAAAAAATAAAGTTTTTGAGTCAATTGGTAAAACTTGTTTATGAATATATATTTTACTGGAAATGCACTTAGTCACTTCTTTAAAAGCAGTTCAGCTTCTGGCCATTCAGCTGTTGGTGAGTTGAAACTTATGACTGCTGGTGACTGAATCCCTCAAAGGGAGCTGAACATGTAAGAAGACCCTTATTTGTGAGCCCAGATTTATGATGGTGCAATTAATTTGTTGCTAGTATTTGTACCAGTGTGAATAAAACAAACTCTGTTTTCCAGCACTCGGAATATCCTGGATGACTTCAGAGAAGCCTACTACTGGCTGAGACAAAACACAGACGAGCACGCCAGAGTGATGTCGTGGTGGGACTATGGCTATCAGAAAAAATAACCGGACACCCTTGGTTGATAACAACACTTGGAACAACAGCCACATAGCCCTGGTAAGGGTGGCAATTTTCTATGGAGGAATAACACCAAAACGTTTACATTGCAGTGGAGTCTGAACTTGTAAATGACTGTTGACAGACAGTATGATATTAAGGAGAAATTCCATAGAGCAGGAAACACAGAAGCGGAAGGTGTATATTTTTTGCATTTATTAGAACTCAAGTATAAAGAATTTTTCTGCTGGAAGGGATCAGTTTTGCTTTTAGAGTTACAGTTTTGTTTACTTGAAGTTTCCAAACCTTCACTTCCATTTCAGTTTCTCTTCTTTGTGGGAGGATAAACAAAATCTAATGTAACCATTTCCCTTGTGATTAGTGCAACAACAGCTTAGCTGGTACCACTGCTTTACTGGGATCATTTCAGTTCAGCAGTGTCTTTGCTCACTGGATTTTTGAATGGGATGTGAAAACTGACCACATGAAGCAACAAATTTGGGAATTTTGGGAATCAGAGAAAGTTTGAGTAGCAATGGAAGTGTTACACACTTGTCATGATTCTGTTCTCAAGTTTGCTGTTAGACAAAGGATCTGTACATTTAATTTCTTTCACTTCTGATGAGTAAGTTTAAGATTTGTGCACCTGCTCAAAGACAAGATGTTAGCGTTGCCTGTGGTTACAGGGGCATCACCCTGGGCAACTTAAACTTTTTTCTGAAACAAAAGAATGCTCTATATTGTAGCTGGGTTGTGGGGGCTGTGTAATGACAGCCAGTCATCACTCAGGGGCCACTTCTTCCCAGATGACCTATGTCATGCTATGGGGGCAAAATGGGGGAAGGGCTTAAGGAACATATTAGGATAGTTTCTTGTCTTGTGTCAGTACCTAGTACAGCAGTTGGACCAGATCTGCAGACAAGCAGTGTTCAGAATTCACAAATTAATCAAGCTGTGCCTTGAGCATACAAAGTCCGGAAAAAATGTGTATGTAGGGAGAGGGCATCATATGTACTTGCTTTTGACGGGAGCAGAGAACTTGCATCAGCTGAAAGCAAGCTTGGGAAATTGTACTGCTGGTGCTAATACCAATCAACAAGCCTTCCCATGTACTAAGGCACTTTTATTTTTGTCGTTGACCTGACAGTGTTGGTGTGTGTTAGATGGATGTTCAACTCTGATAGGTCTACGTGCCTCCCTCTTCTACAAGAGGTAGAAGTGCAGATACTATATCTAAACCAACAGATCCCTGCAGGACACATCAGGAGAAGAGAGAGACCATGGAAGTCACCTGTATTGCATAAGCACAGTAGCCATACACATTAGAGCAATCAGCAGTGATGGTGTCTAATAAAGAATTCTCTCCACTATGACTGCTGGCACTGTCAGGTTCCATCTCGGAATGGATACTACATACAAGGGGACCCAAGCAATAACTGTGTGTTGTGGCTAATACCTGAACTTGTGCACTAAATGAGGCATGCCCTGGATACGCATCCAGATGACTTCCTCCTGCACAGAAATGGAAATCTGCCAAATAACTTCACATTGATTAGGATAATGGCCAAGAAGCTGAGGTTCTCAGTCTTTTTGACAGATTGCAGCCTAAGCTTAGTGTTTTCTAATTACGTTCTTAATTGCATGTTACCAATTTGGATGCAGTATTGTTTATATTGTAGTTACTCCCTTTTACTACACCAATATATTATTACACTTGAAGTGCCAAGCCCTTCAACAGCAAACAAAATTACTGAACTGAATGCCAGTTACTGTCTTAAGTGAATTCTTTTAAGTGTGGGAAGTGACCAGTATGGAAGAAGGTTCTGGATACAGCTTTAAAAAGTTTTTCAAGGCCAAAACTATGTTATGCTTTTAACTCAAGGATGTCTCTACCCTGACATTTTCTCTCCATAAACTTACCTTGAATTCAATGCTGAGGGTGCCTGTATGCTGCTGAGTACAATGCAGCATGGCTGCTTCAGTAGCGAAGGACAGCTCAGGGGAAAAAAACCACAAGAAATTACTAACATTTCAAATAATTTATTCACTTTGGGCTGTGTCAACAGCTTTGAAAATTAGGTATTTTCTGCAACACTGAGTTTTTGGCAATACAGCCATGGCTTGAAAAATATGTAAGTGCCACAAAAGGAAAACCTTTATTGATACATTTTATATTGAAAACACTGATTTCAACAGGCAGCGCTCCTCGTATAGAGGAGAAAATATTTCAGCTTAGGTCAGGCTTTTGAGTTTCTAAATAGACACAATCAGTTTTTGTTATCTAGAATGAAAATGTGGGGTTTGGTTGGCAAGTATGTATTTTTGGGCTTTGGTCTGGGAGGATATTGATCTGTGGATCTGTTCAGTAGCTATGCAGATACTCAAGATATTTTTGTGTGGGTATTATACAGGTGGGAAAGGCAATGTCATCAAATGAGTCGGCAGCATATGAGATCATGAGAAGTCTGGATGTGGATTATGTTTTGATTATTTTTGGTGGCGTGATTGGCTACTCTGGTGATGATATTAATAAATTCTTGTGGATGGTGAGAATAGCAGAGGGGGAACATCCCAAAGATATTCGGGTAAGTGGAAATATACACAGCAAAACTGAAGCATTCTTGGCTGAATACTATATTCCTTTGTGTTCATATCTACTTCTTTTTTTTAAAATCCTTTATTTATGTTGTTGCTTTTCTGGTAGTGCTTATTACAGTGGAGGGAGATCTCCACTACTTATTGCAATTTTATTTGAAAAATGTGTTATGGGCTCTTTTCCTAGAACAGTAGGAGTGCAGAGGCCTGTAGCCCAGTTTCTTTCAATATTTATGGTTTTGAAAGGTCAGTAACCTCAAAAGCTTTTCACTTTTTTTGCATGATACTAAAAGTACAGGATATCTCTTGTAATTCTTGTGTGCGTATCTCACCGTGCACCATAGAATGTTCAGACTGTTTCAATAGTTGGCATTACAAATTTCTTCAAACTCTGTAATAGTAGGAGACAAAGTGTTAATATTGACTTATGTAGAGTTTAAGTTATTCAAACATCTCAGAGATTGCAGAAGTCTGTAGTGATATTTGCTTAAGCCTAACAAAAGCTTCTGGATATTGAGCACAGGCTTAAGGGAGTAGCCTGCATGCATAGTTTCATCTTGTACTAGAGATGAAAATGGCAGAAATTTTTTGTTTACACACTGTGCACAGATGAAGTATATGGTAGAATTGCAGACCTTTTACATTAACAGTACAGAGCTTTTCACCTTTCCGAAGAAGAATTTTGATAGATGCCTAACTTACATTTTTAGATCAGTTTTCCAGTGACTGCTTACTGTGCAGTGAGAAAATTTACACCAGCACAATAATATGGAGTTAGGAAGGTTGGGGTCTGGGTTACAAGCAGGTAGTTTGTAACTGTTCTACCTTTAACCAGCACCATCATTTTCTGTTTTAAGACTAGCTTAAGTCAGCTTTTAAACTGCAAAAGTCAGTTTAGATTCCTTACAAAGTTTGTTTTTTTTGTTTTTGGTTTTTTTTTTTTGTGGAGAAAGAAATGTGATATGACCTTAAATAGAGGTTTAGTTTATATTGACTCTTTGTGTCATCTTTTCTTTCTAAAGGAAAGCGATTACTTCACCCCTCAGGGAGAATTCCGGGTAGACAAGGCAGGTTCTCCAACTTTGCTCAACTGCCTCATGTATAAAATGTCCTATTACAGATTTGGAGAGATGCAGGTTAGTGCTGTGACTTGTACTGAATCTTAATTGAAATGTGAGAAAACAAATGTTACTTTTACGTATTTTCCATCTTTTAGATTGAGTGTTGCTTGTAGTAGCAGAGTCAGAGGTAAGAGTCAGCTTTACAAATTAAAACACATCTAGGCATGGTCTACTGTATATAACCTTTAGAAAAAAGCATTTATGTTGCTAACCTACTTAGCAACTTACTTAGCTTGTTGCTTTCTTTCACATTGCCCTAGATGAGGATCTTAATTCCACTGTACAGTGTAGTTGCTAAAGCATTAACTGTTATGTTGTGGAGAGCTTTAGATTTGTGTTTTTTGTAATAGCAACACCGAGTTCCCCCTGTGTTGCTGTTACACAGTTCCGTTAATTGACTGTTTAATATTGGTGGGTAACTACCTTGTTTCTATCTAAGTAACATCTGTATATTAAACAACACTGCACTTATATAAGGGCATAATTCTCAGAGTTGTCACTCCCCTTTGGGATCCATCAAGCATATGTATGTAGGCCAGTGAATCATATTTGTTACACAGGGGGTGGGGTGCAGGTTGTAAGTTAACCGGTAAATGTGAACTTTTCCAGCTTGTATGGAAAACCATGGAAGTGCATGCAAATTATTGTCCTATAGAAGAGAGAGTACAAGTGAGCAGCTGTGCTAAAAAGCCACCACAGGCTGATGCACCTCAGACTTTCACTTGAGTACGTTCATCTCTGAATGAAAACATGGTGTTTCTGTTGAGAAATGAAGTGCCGTCTCCTGTGACATCTGTAGGAATAAGAATAAATTTGTCATTCTTAAGTGTAAAAAGGAACTGAGAGTTTTTTCTGTATAGTAACAACCAATGCATGAGAAGTGTTGTCCTTTGACTAGACCAGTTGAAAGTGTTGCCTCATGGTATGAAGTACCACAGTTTGCAGGGATGGGTGTTTTGGGTTTTGTCTTGAACTAATATGCAACTTTAATTTTTATAGCTGGATTTTCGGACACCTCCAGGATTTGATCGTACACGCAATGCTGAGATAGGCAACAAAGACATTAAATTTAAACATCTGGAGGAAGCCTTTACCTCAGAGCACTGGCTTGTTAGAATATACAAGGTGAAACAACTAGACAACAGAGAGACATTGGATCATAAACCTAGAGTAACCAACATTGTACCGAAACAGAAGTATTTGTCAAAGAAGGTGGGTTCCCAATGAAGTCACTGAAAGGGGTCAGGAGAGGGCAGTTTATTTTTAGCAGTGAATCACGTAGCTGGTGAATTATGTATTTCCACTAGCCAGAATGTTATGGATACTGTTCATGTTAGTGTCCAATATCAGACCTGCCTGCTGGTAATTGTTAATTTACTGTCTGCTTAACTTAAAAGCATGTGAAGACAAAAGGCTAGATTTTTTTTTAGGCAGAATGCTAACTGGAAATAGAGTGTATCACTGGCTGTTACAACTCTTAAGTCTTCATGTAACTGGAAGTATGATCTCTAAAGTACATTGATTCATGTTTCAGTAACTATGGCTCACTAAGTAAATAATGTGGAAGTTGCTTTCTGACTTTGTTTGAAAGTAGTGATGCCTAGAAGTTTAAAAATGGCAATTTTGTATGAAATAAATTAAATATGAAACTTTTGTTGATGGAACTTCAGTGTCTGGCTGCTTACTGTTTGAAGTCATCTTCATGGTTTTAAAAGTGTTAGCTGTGGTATGCTAATTCAGCCTATTAAGAAAGAAACCAGGGGACTTGGGGAGAATCTTAGCAGCCCTGTTCTTTACAACATCAGTTTTCTATATATTCAGATGTGTGTTGCAAAAGGAATTCCGTAATCGTGTCAGAAACAAATGTATAACAAACTAAATTAATATAGGCAGTAAACTTACACTGTGCTTACACTGTGTCATCGAAATACAGGTAAAGAATGTTAAAGGGTAAAGATGCTGCTTGTGGTTTGATGCAAATTCATAAAATAATGTGTTTGGGAGTTTCTGCTGAAGCTAGACTTAACCTGAAAGGAAATTATAAGCTTTACTGTGCCTGTCACACACTTCAGTGTAACTCGTGATCTTAAGTGACAAGCAAGGCTACATTTATTAATGAGAGATGCACTGACCCCACTTAAGCTGTGGACATGTCAGTTTTCTGTCTAAAGATGGGATAAAAGTTGATGTAAATTCTGACCCGTCACCAACTCCTGCAGTACAAACAGGCTCTACTTCCCATTAAGAAATTGGAGAACCAGCAAAGAGCACAGGGCCAATGTCTAAACTAGGATTTCTTAAATGCATTCTGAGGGCTCCTTAGTAGCCACAAGTTTTCAGCAGTTGCTTCCTTACTGGAAATTCAGTCCATCTCCTGTCACAGTTCCATGTCAGGAATGACATTGCTCAAGCTCAGAGATATAACACATCTCAGTATTACATATTAATTTGTATCTATCTCACTTTATATTATTATTATTGTTGTTATTATTTGACATAATAGAGCCTGCTGGTAAGCACAGCAAAGTGCAGCAAGTGTGGGAGCTGCCTACTGTTTAATTTCTTGTGGCCGGCACATTGCATGTGCAGTTCTACCTTCAAGGAGCTAACTGTATTTATACAACTTTGAAGTTAATAGTATCTAAGACTAATATTAATGCTTCTCCCATTACTACCATTTAAAAAAAAAATCTAAAATACGCTGAAAAAGACATGAGCAGAAAGCGATAAATAGCCTACAGACCACTAGCAAAGGACTAAAGACTAAAATGTGATTTTTCTGGGTTTTTCTCTCTTTTTTTTTTTTTTTAATGCTGTTTTGAGTAAATACTACTATCCATATCGAAGACTAAAATGTGATTTTTCTGCATTTTTCTCTCTTTTTTTTTTTTTAATACTGTTTTGAGTAAATACTACTATCCATATCATCTTGTGAACTTCTAAGATAATCAATTAGTGCAAAAGAATCAATTAGTGCAAGAAGGCATTTCCAAACAAAACTTACCACTCTACACCACTTCTGCTCTTTGGGCATATTAGAGCTTTATCATGTTGGTTAATTATTAATTCTGCCTCAGCACAAGCTTTGAAAACAATCCTACATATCTGGTAGATGGGGCTCGCAAAAATACATCTTGTGCAAAAGCAAGTGTTGGGCATGAATTAACAATCCCAATTTTAAAAATAATAACTGGATAATACCTAGTTGAAGGTTTACAACTTAAGCTCTTTAAAAATCAGTCTAAAGATCAGGCATTGAAATGCACATCATTAAACCATGGTCAAGACTAAATCATTAACTAACACATTTTATTCTGTGTTTTTTTTTTAGACCTCCAAAAGGAAGCGTGGCTACATTAAGAATAAACTAATTTTAAAGAAAGGCAAGAGACCCAACAGGAAGACAGTTTAAATACACTGTTCTGATTGCTAATACGAAGCAGTTGTCCTTGAGATAACCAGTCTTTGCCTTTAGCTCAAGTCATGTTTCACAGCAACATGAGGGTACAGAACCATCATTGGTCCAGATTATTGTACAAAATTTTCAGGCAATGTCTGATTAAAAATATTGGCTTATTGAGAACAGCTGTTTTAGATTTGTAATGTGAAGCAAGACAGAGCTGCTATCTGAGTCTAGCGGCATTTTTTTTATTGGTACATATTATCCTTCAAATCTGTTGAGAATTTGGACTGACTGCACCAAAGAACCCTGTAATTTGGTCCTTGGCACATGCATACTTGTCAATCTTTTTTGGAGAACACTGTTCAGCTGAATAGCAGCAGTATGTCAACTCGAATCGTGAAATCTAAAAATTACTTGGTTTCAACAATTAAGAGGAAGTGGATGGAGCTCTCTGAAATTAAACTTTCAAATTAAGTTACCCCATGATTATTTTTTCAGTGGTTTCTTTTAGTGTCCTTTTACTCTTGCTGCAGGCTGGTTTTGATCTGAAGTGTAAGAAGCAAAGCTGCAGTTTTCACGAGAGAGGACAGGACAGATGAATTGGATGCTAGTTCAGGTTGGACAAGCTGCTTTTGTTTAACATGGGATTGCAGTATTGCTGCCTTACGCTGCCATAAGGTAGACAAGGCAAATCTTGCACACTGTAGATACAAGGGCTAAATTTGTATCCTCCTGAAAAAAAATCTGAAAAGACAGTAATGAATGCTATAGTAACATACAGCTGAGCACCATGGAGTGGCTGGTGTTTCAGAACAGAGATTAAACTATTTTAGTTAAATGTTTACATTGGTAAAACAAGTATGGCCTGTTTAAAATGGGGGAAAAAAAGTTTGACAGGTATACGAAACCCCTTTTCTGTGGCTAGCAGAGATAGAGGATTTGCAAACCTCTTCCTCCCCTCACTGCCTTCTCTTGAGAGGGTAGAAGTTTTTCTGGAAAATTGTTTCTCTGCATTTTTATTTAGAGTGCTTAAATCAATTTAAGAAATTCCTGCTCTAGTGCTATTTGCTTTGTCTGTCTTTTTTACTGTTTGGTTTTCTTTGAAGTGGTGAAAGCTGTCAGATTAAATGCACTAAAATATAAATGGAGACTGAACATGTTCACTTTCCAGCTATAGGAAAACTTTATACAGACTTGAAAATTTTCTTTAATTAAAATGAAAGGGTTTTGCAGCTTGTTTTCCTGCCACAGGTTGTAACTTTTTATAGAAACAAAACTTGCATCAATAATTTGATGTAAAATGCAGAATAGTATGTACCTTTCATGAAGAAAATGTAAATTTACAGTGTTCTGTGAGAATGTTACTGCTGACTTATTTCCCAAGGTGTAGAATATTTTTTTGATTTATGAACTCATTTTGACTCCAATGGTTTATACAGACCAATACTACAGCTGCAACATTTTCACAAAGTAATTAAATCTGGATTTCTGCCCCCCCACCCCCCCTGTCGTTTGGAGACTTCATTTTATTTTGTTGCTTTAAAGCTCAATGCAGACCAGTTGTTGACTGTAGGGGAAAATAAAGTTAATTCAAGTTTTGTGTTAAGGGTGTTGTGTCAGTTTTGTTGTGATTAACTTGACACCATGTTGCTTATAGTCCTAGTGATAAATTAAGTCATTCAAACTCCATAATGCAAATCTGCTGACCTCGTGAAGTTGCCGTAATGAAGCCACAGCTGCTACTTTAACATCCTCCCAGCTTAAATTGACTAAGCCAAATGTAGGAGCTCTGCCGTGATGACATTCAAGGTGGCTATAATATTTTCAGAGAACAGCAGCCATCTTTCCCAAACCCACGTTGCAATGAATCCTTCGAGCAGCTGGAGCAACTCACGCTGTTACAGTTCCTTACACAGCAGGAGAAGGGGTGATTATGTGGTGCACAATTTGTAATATCTTGCTTCTTCCAAGCAAATCTGCATCTTCCCCCCC